GTGGATACTTATGTCGCTTATATAAATGGCATACTATATATAACCTGTACACATCCTCCCAAATGCTTTAAAATCTAAATTATTTATAGTGCCTAATACAGTGTAACTGCTGTGTAGATAGCTGTTTTACTGTATTGATTAGGGAATGACAAGGAAAAAAGTCGATATGTGTTCAGTACAGATGCCGTTTTAGTCTTGCTGTTTTCAGATCATTGAAAGTTAAAATATTTTGTGATTTAAAGGAAGGGATGGAGCTGGATGTGTAATCCAGCAGTTGGGAGGCCAGGAGGGTTGCCTTCAGCTCAAGGCCAACCTGGACTACATACAGAGCAAGACCCTGTCTCAAAATTAACAAAACAACCAAAGAAGGGATCATCTTTCAATTTAGTTTTAAATTTTAATTTCTTATATGACGTCAGTATCCAGTAATCTGCATGGCATTTTTGCAGTTCTTTTTAAAATCTAGGATAGAAAAATGTAATGAATAGCCTTTAAAATTTCTTAGCCTTAAAGAAAAAGTTGGTCTGGGCATAGTAGCACATGGCTGTAATCCAGCGCTTAGCAGGAGGATCGCCGTGAGTTTCTCATGACTATGTAGTGAGTTGAAGGCCACCTTGTCTGAAAAAAAAAGGTAACAAGTTACTTGGAGGAAACTAAGTTTTCTTTGGTCATTGTGGGAAGTTGTAAGTTAAATGTGTGGCTGAAGAGATGTAATGCTTTTCCTACTCTAATCCTTTCCTTAGATACTGAGTCCGTGTACTCAGCAAGCGCGTTTCTTGAGTCTGGTGTTCTAATGAAGAAGAGACAGCCCTGGCCATGAGGAGCTCCCACTGAGTAGGAGAGACAGGCATTTGGAAAATTATCCAGTATCAATAAAGAATTAGGGGTTTTGAGAGAAAGTGAGCTTCTTTGAGAGTAACTCACAGCCTTCTAGGCAAGGCATAGCAGAAGCAAGTGGTAAGAAACACCTGCCGGAATTGCAGACTCCTGGGTTACTTAATTGTTAAGTGGCAAGAGAGGAACTTTTAAAGGTTTTAAGAGATTGGATGGTACCCTATAAGAACAGAACTCTCCAATTTTACCCTCAGAGCAAACAGTTCTGAGAATATGTGAGCACTGTGCCATAAATGTGGATCTAAAACACAGTTGTTACTTTCAAGAAGCTCAGATAAGTGATACGATGCAGGATATGCACAAGTATAGCTGACTGTTTACAACAGGAAAAAAGCCTTTTTGTTAAACCTAATAATCAGTTTTAATTTTTTGGTACTGGGGATCGAACTCAGGACCTTGCGCTTTTGAGGCAGGTGACAGAGCCATCGAGCTATATCCCTGGCCCAGTTTTTTTTTTTTTTTTGGTACCAGGGATCAAACTCGGGTCCTTGCACTTGCAAAGCAGGCGGTGAAACCACTGAGCAAAATCCTCGGTCCTCTGGGCTAGTTTTAAAATTTTTTAATGCTTATTTTGTGGTATTGGGGGTTAAATCCGGGTCCTTAATGCTGAGCTATACCCCCAGCCATTTTTTATTTTGAAACAGGGTCTGGTTGAGCAGCACAGTCTGGGCTCAGATTTGGGATTCTCCTGCCTCAGCCTTCCAGAGTGCTAGGATCATAGATGTGTGCTACCATGCCTGGTTCCCAGTCCTTTTTTATTTCTTACTTTGTTGAAAAAACGTCTTGAAAAGTTGCCTGGCTACAGTGGATTTAATTTTGTAGACTATCTTTTAGACCTATCAAGCAGCTTAAATCATCAGTTTTAACTGAAGAACTGAAGTCCAGAAAAATTAAATGATTTGCTTGAAGTTCTAGAAGCAGGCCTAGAATTCCTAGACCTATCAAGCAACTTAAATCATCAGTTTTAACAGAAAAGAAACTGAACCCCAGAAAAATTAAATGATTTGTTCAGAGTTCTAGTAGCCAACCCAGAATTCCTACTATGATTCTATGTTTGGGAGGGGTTGTTTTGTTTTCTACAGAACAGCTGAGGAGTGTTTAGAAGGATAGCCTAAGGAAGTAGCCATTATTAGCAAAGTCAGCAAGTTAGACATTGCTTTATGTTGGCTCTACACTTAATCTTATTGGTAAGCTAATAATAAGCAAGTACCTTTACTACTCTTGTCAAAGCTCTGAAGAACCTAACATGTTTTCCTTTTGCAAGGTAAATACTCTCAATTTATTCAGTTCTTCATATGATACATCCTTCACCATTCTGGTAGCCCTCCTTTATATGGTTTCATAGGATATATCTATTGGTATGTGGCCCCCAGAAATTGAATGGTAATATTTTAGTTGCCACATCACAAGCACAGGATAAGCTAGACCTATGCCTACAAATTTGGGACCTGTACTCATTAGGGATTAAGATTCAAAACTCCCTCCTTTGGGACTTGGGGATGTAGCCCAGTGCTAAGAGCACTTGGCTGGCATGTGAGAGGCCCTGGTTCGATCTCCAGCACTGCAAAATATCTACCTACTGTCAGTTTATCTCATAGCCTTGTTAAATTAAAAAAATTTTTTCTTTTGGTACCAGGGATCAAATTTGGGACCTTGTGCTTATGAGGCAGGTGGCGGAACCACTGAGCTGAATCCCTGGCCCAAATAAAATTTTTTTAAAAAACAACTCCCCTCTTTTGGCTAGTTTCCTTCTCTTTCACTCCATGTCTTGTTTACTTGAGCCCTAAATAATGCAGAAAATGAGCCTCTTTGCATTGTGACCATATTCTGTTTTTTCCTGGCATTTATCATTAGAATTCAAGATCAGATTGGGCAGTTAAGGAGACTCTCAAAAATATAAAAAGCCCTGGGGATATAGATACAGCTCAGTGGCAGAGCATGCCTGGGTTTTATCCCCATTACTGCACTCATGCATGCATGTGCCCTTTTTTCCAGAGCATGGGTATTTTCATATTAACCATAACTAAAATTTATTTATTTTGGATTTTTTTGAGCCAGAGTCTCACTATGTGATCCAATCTAGCCTTGAACTAGCTATGTAGCCTAGGTTACCCTCAAATTCATAAGCCTACTTTAGCCTCCCGAGTATTCAGATCACAGACATGCCCCACCATGTCTGGCAAAATACTACATTTTAAAATGGGTTTTTATAGCCACATTTTTTTTTTTTTGGTACCTGGGATTGAACTCTGGTCCTTGTGCTTGCGCAGTAGGCAGCAAAACCACTGAGCTAAATCCCCGGCCCCTATAGCCGTATTTTTTTAGAAAATTTTTTATTGTGTTTTGGTATAATTAACATGAAATTTACCATCTTAACCATTTTTAAGTTTGTGGTTTAATAAAGTACAGTTACATTGATGTACAGTGAATCTCTACAAGTCTTCATCTTGCAAAACTGAAAACAGTTCCTCTTGCTCCCTCTTCTAGCTTCTGCCAACCACTATTTTACTTTCTGTCCATGAATTTGACTACTAGGCCTCATGAAAGTGGATTAATAGTTGGATTTTTTAACTTCCCTTTCTGTATGGAATCTTCAATAATACAAATTTGCCATTTTATGTAGTTGGAGCATGTGTCATAGTTTTGGTAGAACAAAGGAAAACAGAAGGCAAAATTCTTCAAGGATCTTTTTTCTTCCCTCTCTTTTCCTAAAGCTGAGGGTGTGATAATAACTTTTGTCTACATCTGAGCCTCAGGTATATTTTTAGATTTCAACCCCTGACAAGATATGGCAAATGATGGACCAGCTTGCATTCTGACTGTCCTGTCTTTGACTTTAAAATTATGTCTTAATCTGTACAACCAGGAATATCCCCCTGCTCAGGTTTTAGTGTAATTGGTGGCATGTGTTTCTTTTAAACCGTTGTTTGCTTATATCTAGTTAGGCTTCAGTTGTGCATCCTTTATCTAAGGCTCTTTTGCAAGTTAGTCTGATTTCTGACAGTGAAATTTGTTGTACCTCTAAAGGAGGAACTTCACAACTTTCAGAATACAAAATAGGAAAATAGAAAATAAAATTAGTTTCTGGTGTTGTTATCGTACCTGGTTAGAAGAACTTAAAATTATTTAGAGTCAAATAGATACATAAATTTATGAGGCTCATAATTTTGAAAAATTATATACCCTTTAATAAAAAGCATCTTTTAGCCTGATGTGGTGAGTGCATCTGTAATCTCAACTACTTGGGAGTCTTAGGCACCATGATCCTAAATTTGAGACCAGCCTGGGCAATTCAACAAGACTCAAAAAAGGGTTGGGGATGTAGTTCAGAGCTCCTGAATGTAACCTCCAGTACTACCACCACAGTGACAAAAAGCATCTTTTGACTTGACTGGTTGTTTTCTTTCCTCTTGCTTATCAGGTTTATTTTAGGGTTACCATATTTTTTTGTGCATTATTATATAATCTTGCTATAGCTAAAAATTGCTTTTGCCTTGGGAAAAAAGCTTAATAATAATTTTGTTTATCCAAGTATCTATGTTCATTCATATATATATATATATAGCAGTAAGAATAAAAACGTTTACAGGTTTGGCTTGTATCTGTGTGATAATGAATATATGTGGTGAATTGGCTCACTTGGCTGTTATCTGTTATATGTTATGGGAGCTGGTTTTTGTGGGGAAGAATGGTATTTGGGCTGTCACTAAGATGAGCAATACGTGTAGTTTTTTGTTTTGTTTTTGCATAGTTTTGAAATAGCTTTTGGTTGAAGTGCACTTTGCTATAACAAAATGTAAAGTAATTGGGCTGAAGTATGGGGGCTGTTAAAGATAATTTTCAGCTGGGCAGGGTGGCACATACCTGTGATCCCTGCACCTGGGAGGCTGAGGCAGGAGGATCGCTGCAAGTTTGAGGCTAGCCTGGGCTATGTAGTGAGTTCAAGCTCAGCCTGAACTACATAGGGAGATCTTGTCTCAAAAAACCAAAATAATAATAATAATTTTCAGAGAGCTATTTTAATTGTTTATGAAATTAAAATGTGTTTTGATATCATAGGACAGTCTTGCGTTTTTATGATCTTAATTAGTCCCTTCTTTCTACAGAAATAGGAAGGTCGTTGATTATTCACAGTTTCAGGAGTCTGATGATGCAGGTATGTTCTGTGATTTCAACAAATTGTTGGACTAACTAACTGGTGGAGGACTGCCAGCTTTTGTACTTCTTATGATGCTTATGATGCTCATATGAGGCCAGGCAGGGCAAGATAGTTAAACCCTGAGTCAAAAAAGAAAGAAAGAAAAATTGGTTATAGTGGTACCTCGCTTCATGAACACTTTTGTTTGCAAACTATGTTTTGTGACAAACGTGACTGTGGCCGTCTCTCCCGCACAAACACAAACATGGCCATCTTTTCCAAAACAAATTAAGTTTGTGAATGGAGTATTACTGTAGTAAAACCTTTACTTATTTTATGAAACCACTTTGATTTATGAACTAATGCATCCATAGAATGAGTGTTGTGTCTTAAATCTTAGCCATTAAAGGTTTCTATAGAGTTGTGTTCTTAAATCTTATTATTTTTCAGGTATATTTACTTTCCTTTTTCTTTCCCTTCCCTACCCTTTATTTTATTTTATTATTTATTTACTTATTTTTGTGCTGGGGATCGAACCTGGGACCTTGCGCTTGTGAGGCAGGCAGCAGAACCACTGAGCTAAATCCCTGGCCCCTACCCTTTACTTTAAATCTAACTTTATAAAGGTAATATATGCCTTTAGAGAAAAGCAGAAAGTTGTATGAAAGAGTAAAAAACTGAAACATAACCCTACATCCTAGAGGTAACTCTTAACACTAATTAAATTGTTGCTCTACATGCCAGGAATTATTCTAAATGTTCATATTTCGTAGTTTTATTCCTTAGAACAATCCTGTTATTCTGAGATACGTTAATTATTCTCATTTTATAGTCATGGAAACGGAGGCAAAGATAACACTCACGATCCCTTAGGTAGCAATATAGCTATATTTTACCCTTTCTGTTAACTCCTAGTCTTTCACCTTTTTTACCTTTTAAAAAACGTTGAAGCCAGATATGGTCATTCAGTCCTATAATCCCAGCACTTGGAAGGCTGAGGCAGTAGGATCCCCAGAGTTTGATGCCAGCCTGGGCTACATAGTGAATTCAAGGCCTGCCTGAACCTCATGCAAGACCTTGTCTCAAAAACAAAAAACAGGGGCCAGGGATTTAGCTCAGTGGTGCCACTGCCTGCCTTGCAAGCACAAGGTCCTGAGTTCAATCCCTGGTACCAAAAAAAAAAAAAATGTAGTTGAGGTCCTGCCGTTGAGTTCTGGGTTCTGTCCCTGTCTTGCTTCTTCTTGTACTTATGAGTCTCTCTGTCTTTATTAAATTTGAAAAAAATTCCTATTGGTTATTATTTTTCATATTTATAACTTATACAACCATTTAATAATTGCTGAAGCTCCAGACCACCTCCAGCTTCCTTCCTCTTTTTTTTTTTTTTTTTTTGGTACTGGGGATTATACTCTGGACCTTGCCCTTGTGAGGCAGGTGGCAGAACCACTGACCTAAATCCCCAGCACCACCTCCAGCTTCATACCATTGTATGTGATGATGCAATAAATAGTTTTGGCCATAATCACCTTTTAACATAGGGTAATCTTTTTAAATTTTATTGGAATTTTGAAATTGAAGCTATTTTCCTGAGCTGCCTGAGTAACCAGAATACATAGGGTGTATTTAACACATTAGATTAAAAGTAATTTGCTTGATGACAGTAATTGTTTTAGGATTGTAGGACTAGGTTTTTTACATTCTAAAATGCTTACACTGTATTACTTTAATAATTTTCAGATAAATATAAAGGTATTGAGACATGCAAAATCATAAATTAATAATTGTGCATGAGGACTAGTGGGTAACAGCATAAATGGAGTCAAAATTGTGAGACTAGAGTAGAAAATGTTTTAAAACAAGAAACCATTTGGGAAATCCTGTCCTGCTAACCACTTAAATAGGGAAAGAGATAACTAATGTCAGTAAATATAGTGGTGATTTTTATATGTAAAAATCATAGTTAATTCATTTGAACGATTCTCTGTTTAGATGAAGATTATGGAAGAGATTCAGGTCCTCCCACCAAGAAAATCCGATCATCTCCTCGAGAAGCTAAAAATAAGAGGCGGTCTGGAAAGAATTCACAGGAAGACAGGTAAGAGATGTTGATCCTGTATCACTTGCTCGTCCCCACTCTGAAGTGAGGGCAGTCTCTGGTCTCTGAAGTGTGGACTCTCGGACACCTGAGGGTTACAGTATTGGCTTCCCTTTGTTCTGCACGCCTCACACTCTTGCAGGCTGTGCTTTGGGGGCTGGACAGGTTGGCCTCCTTAGTCCTGGGGCTTGCTTGGCTTCAACTTTGAATCCAGGGTGATGTCTGAGAATGCCCTTCCTTTGCCTCAGACCTCTGAACATGAGCAGAAAGATTAAGTGTATAATTTGTGACTTAGAATTAGTATCAGTGCTTAAATTTACATTGTCTTGAATAACAAAGCACAAGGTAGAGTCACCTAAATCTGGTAGACTCTTAAACTGCACGGCCTGCTGAGTTTTGCTGTCTCGTAATTCTTTGTTTAAATAATTGAAACATTTAATGTAGTTTCTTTTTCTTTTCTTTTTGAAAAACTGGGTCTTGCTGTGTTCCCCAAACTGGCCTAGAACTTGCAATCCTCCTGTCTCAGCCTCCTGTGTAGCTTTGACTCCAAGCATGATCCACCACACCCACCTTGTATTTTTGTATCATAGTGCTGGGAATTGAACCCAGGACCTTGTAGGTGCTAGGCAAGTGCTCTACAGCCTCACTCTTTCTTTTTTCCCCCTTAGTTTTACAAATGCTTTCGCTATGAGTTGTAATTTAACCATAATTTTGCTTCATGAAAACAGGATATTATAGCTTCTGCCTGTTTTCCAAGGAGTACACACACATTCTCATAATTTTAATACCTACTTGATGAGGGTGATGATGATAGCTGCCGTTTATTAATATTAACTACTTTGTATACATTATCATTTAATTCTTATAGTACTGCTCTTAAATTAATTAATTTAGAGAGGTTCAGTGATTTAACCAAGTTTACCCAGCAAATGGACGAAGATGTTTTGAAATCATGCTTGGACCCCACTGTGCGTTTTTTAATCATTAGGCTGTCACACTTCCAAATAATCCGTTAAACATAAGTAGTTTAAAGAAATGAAATATTTCTCACTTGTTTTTCTAAGACCCTTAGTACACTAAAATCACAACTAAATATATGTGTTTACCTAGTATTTTTCATTTGTTTATATCACTAACTTATGCTCACTTTACTGGAAAATGTTGTATTACTTTTCAGGAAAAAATAATACAAAAATTACCATTGGGAAACAAATGTTCCAGAGTTAATATCTAGACCCTTAGCTTTTTGTTGTTTTTGGAACTTGAGATTGAATGCAGGGCCTTCACACTGAATTGTACCCTCAGCCCTTTGTGCAGATTTTTAAATTTTGAGATAGTATCTCAGTAGTTAGGTTGCCCAGGATGGTCTCAAAACGCCATCCTTCTGCCCCAGCTTCCTGAGTGTTGGGATTGGAAGTGTGCATCACATCTGGGTTTTAGTCACGTTTTATATAGCAGCCCCACTAGTTTTTATATTTCCACTTAATGTTTCTCCTAGTAACGAGCTGCTTTTGGCCTTTTATAATATCTTACTAATTAGTTATATCTAGTCTAAATTTTTTTGTTATAACCATTTTATCATTCTCCTTTGAGTCACCGTTTATATTAAATGCTTTGTGTATATTTCCTCAGACCAGTGCTGTGTTGATTTTTATGTTGGTTTCCACTTAAAAGTTCAGCTTTCAAGCCAGGTGTAGTGATGCGCACCTGTAGTCCTGGCACCCAGGAGGGTGAGGTTAGAGAATGGCCACGAGTTCATGGCCAGCCTGGACTGCATAGTGATGAGACCTGGGCTCAGAAAACCAAAAGATGGGCTGGGATGTAGCTCGGTGCCGGCGCCTGCCTTGCAAGCGCAAGGACCCGAGTTTGATCCTCGGTACCAAAAAAAAAAGAAAGAAGGAAAACCAAAAGAAGTTCAGCTTTCACTTGACTTTGCACTAATGATGTTCAAAGATTAACAGTCTGTATACACTCATTAAAATAACCCCCCCAAAATGTTATTTTTCATCATCAGTTAAGTTTATGAATTAAATGTATTGTTGTTATTGTTGTGCTGGTGACAGAACCCAGGACCTTGTATGTGCTGAGCGCTTTACCACTGAGCTACACCCACTCAGTGCTTACTTGTTATAGAAACATTAATGCAGAATAGTCACAATCCAATAGTCTTGGGCTTAGACTGCTTAATAAAGAAATATTTTGGAGCTGGGCGTGGTCACACCTACCTGTAATCCTAGTACTCTGCAAGGCTGAGGCAGGAGGAGTGCAGGTTCAAGCCCAGCCTGAGCAATTTTAGTATATGTGCTGCTGAAGCAAGCACCCAGCCTGGGCAATTTAGTGAGACCCTTTTTGTTTGTTTGTTTTATCTTTTGGTACCAGGGATTGAACTCGGGTCCTTGCACTTTCGAGGCAGGTGGCAGAACCACTGAGCTAAATCCCTGGCCCAGTGAGACCCTTCTTAAAAAATACAAAAAGGTCTGGGGAGGTAGGGCCAGCCCTGGGTTCAGTGCCAGTGAGTGAGTGAATGAATGAATGAATCATTTTTGGTTGCTCTGTTTGGAATCTCGGGTTGTATAATTTATCATTTGAGTATGGTCTAGATTATGAGGAATTCCAAAAGTAATTTACAAGATCTGTTTTCTGTTTTTGTTTTTTTTGGTACCGGGATTGAACTCAGGACCTTGTGTTTGTGACGCAGGAAGCAGAACCACTGAGCTAAATCCCCGGCCTACAAGATGTGTTTTAAAAAAGAAAGCTGTGAGGGCAGTTTTTTTTTCCCACTAAGTTTATCGGTACATTGTAGGTATACAGTACATTTACATTCATCATTGGGATCTTGTACCTTTACATGATGTATCTTGGTTCTTATTTTTCCCCTTCCCCACCCTCCCTTCATCCCCTCCACCCTTCCCTATTTGCAAAGACTTTGTTTCCATTTTTTTTTTCCTTTTCTCATATTTTTTCTTTTCCCTTCTTTCCTTTCCCCACCCCTCCCACTTCCCCTACTCCTTTAGACCTTTTCTTCCTATTACACAATATCAATTATACATTTTTTGATTGCAGTATCAAAATTTAGAGGACATTACCACAGATTTTACAGGATTTAAAAGGATATAGAAAGCATATTACAAAATCTTTTTTGAAATAAATTTGACAACTTCTAGGTACCTTGGAAGACAAATTAATGAAATTTACTCTGGAGGAAATATAAAATTTGAATAGCACCTATTAAAGAAAGTATATTTAAAAAAAAAAAAGAAAGTATATTCCTAGCTTGAAAACCTACATATCTGACAACAACAGACTCATATACATTTTAACTTATGAATTATATCAAACATTTAAAGCAGAGAAAAGAAGGAACACTTCTCCCCTCATTTTAGGAAATCAGCATTGTGCTAATACTAAAACTGGATAAAGATAATAGGAGAAAAAAGTATAAACTTGGATAAAAATTTGTTGAACAGAAAAAACTATTAGAAGTCAGATCTGGCAGTATGTAGAAAGTGGTTTTATTATAGGGATGGCAGTGTTGGTTCAGCATTGGAAGGTCCACCCCCATAAGTCATCATTTTAACAGGAAAGGGAAAAGCCATATGATCCTGTCATTAGTTGCAGAAAAAGTATTGGACTAAATTCTACAGCTGTTCATGGTAAAAGTTATCAGGAGACTAGAAGTAGAACAGAACGTTCTCAACGGATAAGACATGTACTCCATACTTCCAGCAGAAATGCCTTATATGAATGGAAAAGATGCAATGCTTTCTCCCTGAGGTGAGGAACAAGGGCAGATATGCCTACTCTTCATCTGTCCATTAAACTTTGAACCATAGGTGTGATGACAGTTTTTAATGTATGAGCGTTGTCAGAATTTCTCTGAAATCCTAAGATATTAGCACTGCAGAGCAGCAACGATTTGCCTGAGATCGTACAGTAACTAGTGAAAAAGATGAGACACTAGAACCCAGATTCCCAAGTTAGGACTTGCTGAAGACATAATACATGTATGTTTATGTATTATTTTTAGAAGGTTCCTGTTGAGCTTTGAATCTCCTTTATTTTGCAGAATGGTCTTGCGTTCACTCATATTAGAAACAAAAAGTATTAGTAAATAAGTATGAGATAATTAAATTGATTCATTTCCATTTTAGTATTTTTATTCCCTACCTCTCTATAGAGGATTTTTTTTGTTATTAAATTTTATAAACAGGCCTATGTTGAAGTACCTGTTACTTTCCTTTGCAATTCGTTTTCCATGTTGATAAAATTATTTTTATTCACCGGCATTCCAGTAAAGTGAACAAATAATAGAAGCAGTTTCACTCCACAGCATCTCTTTGAACATTTTATATATAGATGAGGTATGGTGTTCTTCTCAAGTCAGATAGCAAGAGATTTGTGTTCATTTATACTTTGATCTCAGACTTTTCAGCATATCCTTTTTCCCCTTTATAGTGAGGACTCGGAAGAAAAAGACGTGAAGACCAAGAAGGATGATTCTCATTCAGCAGGTAGTAAACTTTTTTTAATGTAACAGGTACAGATCTATTCATATATTTATCATTAGACATTTTAAAAAGCAGTTTTGTATCCAGGCTGTGTTGCAAATACTGGGATTACAAAGATGTTTCCATCTTCAAAGAGAAAATAGTGACTCTCAGTTTTGCTGGCTTATTACAAATTAGGTATTCTGAGTCCTGCCCCAAGATTTCAGATTCAGTAGGTCTAGGTAGGGTGTTTAGGCTTTGTTTAAGTATCCTCAGATTGTTTTCTTTTCTTTTTTTTTTTTTTTTGGTACTGGGATTGACCTGGGGACCTTGCGCTTTCGAAGCAGACCGTGAAACCACTGGGCTAAATCCCCAGCCCTCAAGATTGTTTTCATGCATGGTTAAGATTGAAGATCAAAAACATTGACATGAGTGATAGGCATCAGGATAACTCTGTGTGCGCGCGCGCGCGTGTGTGTGTGTGTGTGTGTGTGTGTGTGAGAGAGAGCGAGAGAGAGAGAGAGAGAGAGATACTAGGTGGAAATGGAGGTATAAAAAAGGAATGATGGGGCCGGGGATTTAGCTCAGTGGTTCTGCTGCCTGCCTTGCAAGCAGGAAGTCCCAAGTTCGATCCCAGGTACCCAAAAAAAAAGGAATGATCAACTCTGGGTTGAAAAGCAAAAAAATAACTTTTTTTTTTTTTTTTTGGTACCGGGGATCGAACTCAGGTCCTTCTGCTTGTGCAGCAGGTGACGAAACCATTGAGCTAAATCCCCAGCCCTAAAAATAACTTTCAGTCCCACTTTTCTTAGTTGGGAAAGAGTCTTTTGAAGCAGCCATAGAGAAAGCCTTTTGCAAGTATTTTAATTTGGAAGAATTAATGCAAATTACTGGACATACAGTGACTTATTGGTGGTATTTATTTATAAATTTTTTTCTTTTTTTTAAGAAATGAGAATTTTAGGGCTGGGGTTTTAGCTCAGTGGTTTTGCCACCTGCTGCGCAAGTGCAAGGACCCGAGTTCGATCTCCAGTACCAAAAAAACAAAACAAAAAACAAGCATTGAGAATTTTATTTCTTATTGCTCCCAGCCACTTCAGTTGTTTGTTTGTTTTTGGTACCGGGGATGGAACTCAGGACCTGGTATTTTTGAGGCAGGCAGCGGCACCGCTGAGCTAAATCCCTGGCCCCCAGCCACTTCAGTTTTGACCTGCTTAGTCTTCCTGGATCTCCCCTTTAAGGAGACTGCTATTTAGTTAATATTTAGAGCGTAGACAAGATTTTACTAAATTCCAGCTTCCACTGAGCTGTTTTGCTTTCCTTCCTATTTGACTATTTAACTTCCTAATTATTTGTCTGTTTACAATGAAAGTAAATTATATTAACCTTTTCGATTATCTAGTGAACTTGTGATAATGTAGTATATACTTTCATTCATTTGCCTTAAAAACTCTAACTTGAATCTCTTACATTTATTAGGTTTTTTTGAGCACTTTTTTTTTTTTGGTACCAGGGATCGAACTCTGGTCCTTGTGCTTGAGCAGCCAGTGGCGAAACCACTGAGCTAAATCCCCAGCCCTGAGCACTTTAAAATATATAACTCTGTACTTAGTATGAATACATCTCCTACTGCATAGGGGGTTAGTTTAGAGTCCGCCTAAGTTAGCTTTATTCTCCATTTGCCTCAAATGGGGTTTGGCAGTGAAAGTGGTCACTTGGATACGACCATGGCAAGGCTCCTAGAACTGGGAGTCTTTTCAGAAGAGTGATAGCTAAACCTTAATAGACTGAGGTAACCAACGCCCAAGAAGAAGGCTGTAGGTAGAGACTAATACAAATATAGCATAGTCTAGAGCCAGTAGGCTGGCAGCCTGCCCTTTAATCAGATTTCTTCATGAACATAATTGGGTTTTTTGTTTTTTTTTTGTACCGGGGATCAAACTCGGGTCCTTGCACTTGCGCAGCAGGCGACGAAACCACTGAGCTAAATCCCTGGCCCCATAATTGGGTATTGAAAAAAACTTATAAAAATTAATTGTATGTGAAAGTTTCATTTGTTTGTTTGTTGTGGTACTAGGGATTGCACCGAGGGCCTTCACTCTGAGCTATATCCCCAGTCTTTTTTGTTTTTTATTTTGAGACAAGCTCTTGCTAAGTTGCCCAGGCTGCACTCAAACTCAGGATCTTCCTCAGCCTCCCAGAATGCTGGGAATACAGGCATGTACCACTATGCTGGGCTTGGTTTTTTGTTAGTTTTGTTTTTGTTTTTTGAGACAGTTTCACCATGTAGTTCAGGCTTGCTTTGAACTTACTTTGCAGTCCAGGTTGGCCTTACTCAAAGTGATCCTCATGGTGCCACCTCCTGAGTGCTGGGGCTACAGGCATGAGTCACCACACCCAGCTTATTTTGTTATATTTTTTGGTGTACTACTGGGAGTACAACCCAGGGCCTCATACATACTGAGCAGGTGCCCTACCATTGAGCTGTATCTCCAGCTCTGAAAGTAATTTTTTATAAGCTTGTCCAAAGAACTTTAGCTAATTTGTCTAAATATATATTTTAAAGATTTCTCTCTCTCTCTAAATTGAAAGGAGTATTAAAATTCTCTTTACAGGGCTGGGGATTTAGCTCAGTGGTTTCACTGCCTGCTGCGCAAGCACAAGGTCCCGAGTTCAATCCCTGTACCAAAAAAAAAAAAAATTCTCTTTACAGTTAGACCCCATTTATTGTAGTGTCTTTTTGTTTAGTGGTATGGGGATTGAACCCAAGGCTTTCAAACATCCCCAGGACCACCCCCACCTTATATTGTATTTGGGGTTTTCCTGAGTTGCCCATGTTGAGCTTGAACTTGCGTTGCAATCTTCCTGCCTCAACCTCTCAGAGTGCTGGGACTACAGTAGTATTTTTCTAACTTTAGTTTCTAAAAGCAGTGAACGTGAATTTGAATGTATTTGAGAATTTTAGGGAAAACAATGATAAAATTTAAAGTATGGGGCCAGGGATTTAGCTCAGTGGTTCTGCTGTCTGCCTCGCAAGCGCAAGGTCCCAAGTTCGATCCCTGGTACCAAACAAACAAACAAACAAAATTTTAAGTATGATATAGGAAACATATGGTCACACCTTAAATCAGCTTCATTATTCCTTAAAATTACATGTCTAAGTTATTTTATATGTGTTAATTCCAGTTACTTTTTGGTAAACTTTAGCTTTCCCTTTGTAAATGTTGCAGGAATTTTTTTTTTTTGATACCAGGGATCGAACTTGGGTCCTTGCGCTTGCGCAGCAGGCAGTGAAACCACTGAGCTAAATCCCCAGCCCTGTTGCAGGAATTTTTAAGGATAGAATTTACTCTTCTAGAATGAAAGCTGCAGGTTATATGCTACACACACCACTATGTGAGCTTTCTTAGATATTCAGTCGTTGAATCATGAAATTTTTATATTGCAGAGGACAGTGAAGATGAAAAAGATGATCATAAAAATGTGCGCCAGCAGCGGCAGGCAGCATCTAAAGCAGCTTCTAAACAGAGAGAGATGCTCATGGAAGATGTGGGTAGTGAGGAAGAACAAGAAGAAGAGGATGAGGCACCATTCCAGGAGAGTACGTGAAGTTGGCTAGTGACTATAGTTTAGGACTTTAATTATTTTGGTATTTTCTAAGATGCTAAATGTTACATCTATTCCTTTAAATTAAGTGGATACTTCTTTTAAGAGACATGACTATTGATAACAATGTTTTTAAAAGTTCAGAGATTGCCAGGATTGTTCACCATTTGTAATGTTGTACTCTTTAAAGACATTGTGTTCAAACATTGGATGAGCAAGTATCAGAATAATAGTTACATGCTATGACCGAGACTTGTATTTTAGCCTCACAGAGGAGGATATAGACCTTTCTCCCCACAAAAAAAATGATAATTTCAAAATTTAGGTGTTTCAGAGGTTATTCGGGTTAGTTATATGTATTTTGTAGTGTTCTTGTTTCATTTATTTGAAATTAGGCCAAAAGTACCAGGTCAGTTCAGTTTCATTTTTCTGCTGTCAATCAGTACTATACAGTACATGGGAGTGATAGAACTCCTAAAAATTATTTCATAGTTTCAGTTTTTATTCAGATTAAGTCTTATCTCTTCTGTTGTCAACTGAGAACTGAGTCTTCAGACAAGTCAGTCCTGTAACCTTCTTGTGAGGTGTATGCTAAACTCACTTTACAGATAGGGCAGTGACCACTCCAGCCAAACTGGCAGTACAACTACAAATAGAACCCAGTAGTGTTCCACTCCCAGATCTCATCCTTCAGTCATTCTTAGCAGACTTTCCCTTTGTTCACTTGGAAGGATGTGTACATTAAGTTGGACGTTGAAATTCTTCTTTCCTCTCAGAAGATTCCGGCAGTGACGAAGATTTCCTAATGGAAGATGATGATGATAGTGACTATGGCAGTTCAAAAAAGAAAAACAAAAAGATGGTTAAGAAGTCCAAACCCGAGAGAAAAGAAAAGAAAATGCCCAAGCCCAGACTAAAGGCTACAGGTGAGCTCTGCAATGATAAAATTACTGCTTTAAAATTTTCAAGGACCAATGCTTTCTCTACAGAAATTCTTCATGAAGTGTCAGCCTGACACTTAACAGGAATATAAGAAACCTGAAAGCGCCCTGTCTTCTGCATCTGGAAGTATCACTTATTACAAGGACTTCAGCCTCTCCAAGATTCCAGGGGACTTAGCCGTATTCTTCAAATATTGCCATAATAACATAATTGAGAAGTGACTTACTTGTTTCGGGCACAATGGTGGGAACATTGTGTCACCATAGCTGTTACTGCCCTGTTCAGCATCTGATTTCCCGGCCTCAGCAGCTAGTGAAGACTTGACAGTGTGAAAATGTGCAGACGTCCAGCAGTACATTCACGTTCTGTGTTATGATCTCCACCCCATCCGCTCTGTATTATCAGAATAAAATCACATTTGACAACATGGACTCATTTTCTCTGAGCCCTAATAGTTTCTGCCAGATAGTTCCCTAGTGCAGGTAGGTTGTTAATTAAATCAGAACTCTAGATTTGCTTTTTGTATAAATGGTTTTTACTCTGGCAAATAGAATTAGTGATTTTTAATTTTTTATTTTTTTGGTATTGGAGATCGAACTCGGGTCCTTACGCTTGCGCATCAGGGGGCGAAACCACTGAGCTAAATCTCTGGCCCCTGAGCAAAATATCTTTTTACAAATCACTAATTTGGGCTGGGGATTTAGCTCTGGCCCCCGAGCAAAATATCCTTTAAAAAATTACTAATTTGGGCCTGGGATTTAGCTCAGTGGTTTTGCTACCTGCTACACAAGTATAAGGACCCGAGTTCAATCCCCAGTACCAAAAAAAAAAAAAAAACTTTGCTCAGGCCAGGGATTTAGCTCAGTGGTTCCGCCGCCTGCCTCACAAGCGTAAGGTCCTGAGCTAGATCCCTGGTACCCAAAAAAAAAATTTTTTTTGCTCTTCACTTCTTGTTACGAATAATGGAACTATCAAAAATTATTTCTGGCTTTCCTTCTTGACCTGTCTGTCGAGCCGCGGCACCCCACCCCACCCCCCACCCCCACCCCACCCCCGTAAGTTGCCCAGGTGGGGTTTGAAGTTGTGGACCTTGGCCTCAGGCTCCCAAAGTGCTGGGATTATAGGCATGCACCACCACACCCATCTTTTAACATATAAACACTTGGATCATAAACAGCTTTTAAACCAGGCCGCATGGCACACGCTAAGAATTCCAGAACTTGGGAGGCTGAGGCAGGAGGATCGTCTTGAGTTGGAAGCCAGGCTGGGCTGCTTACTGAGTTTAAGGCCACCCTCAAATACATAGGGAGACCCTGTCTCAAAAACTAGCCTGAGGATGATGTGTATTTTCTGTAGCATCATGTTTCTTTTTTAAAAGCTTTGCTGTAGGAGGCTGCGCACGTGGGTGGCCTGCGGGATGCACCCAGGGTTTGGGGGACCCAACCTGACCCTGACCATGGACTCGGCGGCTCTGGTGTCCTCCCTGGGGCCTTGTCCTCCTCTTGTTTGTGCCACTCTCTCCTCCCCACCGTGACCACGTTCCTGCTCTGCGGGGAGTTGGGCCTGACCTCGCCCTGCACCCTGCGGCCCCAGCAGTATCTGTTGGAAATGTTGGCCAGCTTGAAGTAGATCTGATTATCTCTGCACAGAACGCGTCTAAGATCGGTTACCTCTGTACTGACTGTCTGGTACCAGTGGCTGGAAACAGTCCATATGCAACAGAAGAAGAAAATTCAACAATTCAGTATAAATGCTGAAGTATATTCATTGCCTTCAAGAAAGTTAGTGGCTCTTCAGTTAAGATCTATTTTACTAATTATAAATCCAAGTCATTCTGTGAAAAACTCCTTCCCTGGGTGAAAAGTAGCAGCTTTGTCAGAGTTACTGTTCATCCAAGCAGACACTCATAGCAGTGAAACATCCTGCAGCTTCACAGCACTCCCTTCCATGACCTGCTTACACCTTGCATGCAAGAAAGTGCTGAGTGAAATAAAGAGCCTTAACTAGCAAGAAACGCAAAGAACTGTGTGTTCCTGAAATGAGTGATGCTGATTCCTGTGTTCGAGGCCCAGGAGGAGGGATCACAAGCACTCTGCAAAGAAAGCTGTTCTAAAGAAATCGAAATGGCATTCTGCTAAAATTGGTTTCCGAAGAGAACAACTTTCTGGACCCACTGGGTCTTGCTGAGCACCCTGAGTAGCCACAGTCACAGAGCGATGACCCTGCACCACCCACCTTGCCGTGGGAAATTCCAGGGTCTTAGAAATTAGTCTTGGGCAGTGATCTTCCCCCTGCACTTTTTTTTTAAATGTTTTCAGTTTTATATCCTGAGACACTTATTACCAACACAACTGTTAAGTATTCTATATGAAGATTGTACTACCAAGAGTATATTAGGACATAGATCCTTTTCACAGAAAATGTCAAAGAAAAATGGATTCACAAAAGGTCTTTCCCCGTGCCTTTCAACATCTATAACGTAAAATTTATACAATAAAAATTTATTTCCTAATTAAAAATAAAAGCATTGCTGTGAACATTGGAGCGTTAATAAAAGATGAGCCAGGGTTATAGTGGCGCCCACCTACAATCCCAGCACTGGGAGGCTGAGGCTAGAAGATCGCAAGTTCAGGTCCAGCCTGGGCAGTTCAGCAACTCAGCAAAGTTGCTAAAACCTTAGCAAACCGTCTCAAAATAAAAAATGACAGGATATAGCTTAGTACAAAGACTGTGGGTTCAATCCCTAGTGCCTCAAAAGAATAGGCTAAATGAGACACGTGTACAGGGTACTCCATATATAAAACTGAACTTTTTTTCCTTGTGCATAGCAGGGATTGAATCCAGGGCTGCTTTATGTAAGCCAGACAAGAGCTCTACCACTGATGTACATCCCTAGCCTTTTTTTTTTTTTGTACCAGGGATCGAACTTGGCCCCTCTAGCCATTTTTTCTATTCCTTTTTCTTTTGGTTTAAGACAGAAAGTCGCTAAGTTGCTCTATCTGTTCTTAAACTTGTGTTCCTCCTGTCTCAGCTTCCCGTCACTGGGATTAGTGAGCACCACATCCACCTAAATTTTTATTTTAATATAGTAGTTAAAAAAACAAACTACTGGCCAGGCATTTAGCTCAGTGGTGCCACCACCTGCCCCACAAGCACAAGGACCCGACTTCGATCCCCAGTATCAAAAAAAAAACTTACCAAAATGATTGGAAACTACTACAGCATATTGGGATCTTTTATCATGACCTGATTAGAAACTGAGGTTTATGTGTGTGCTGTAGTACCCATCTTACTTTTGAGGAAGCTGGAGAATAGGTAACAGATTTTATTCTTGCATATTGCCATTTGTAGCTGATTTCTAATGCAGACATTTTTCTCTTCTCCTGTATTGTTATTTTTCTTCGTTTAGTGACGCCAAGTCCCGTGAAAGGCAAAGGGAAAGTGGGCCGCCCCACAGCTTCCAAGGCATCAAAGGAAAAGACTCCTCCTGAAGAAGAAGAGGAGGGGCCCGAAAGCCCTGCGGAGAAGAAGGCTCCGGCCAGCCCCCCGCCTGAGAAGTCCGGAGACGAAGGGTCTGAAGATGAAGCCCCATCTGGGGAGGATTAAAAGTGCTCATGGTTTGGGAGAGATTTTATTAAAAAAGAAAAAAAGGGGGAAGAAAGAGAACCTGCTTAAGATAGAACATGGTTTTGGCTATGGCTTGACTCATGGGCTTTCAGTGCTTTTTTCTATTTGTTAAAAATAATTTCTCTCTCTCTCTTTCCCCTCTCCTCTCTCTTTCCCTCTTTCTCTTCCTCTCTTTCTCCAGAAAACCATTGTATACGGAAGTGTTTAAGTTACCTTTGTGTTTGCTGGTCTTCTCTTTGCCACCACCCCTATTTCCCAATGAAAGCCATGTCAGATTAATCACTGGATTGACTGCTTCATCCTTTTCTTTTTAATGGAAGATATACCACATGTGCAAAGCAATACGATTTGAGATGAAGACCATGGGAACTTCGCTTTGGGCTAAAATGATAGCAAGTTGAACAGTAATCAAAAAACATAGATGGATTTTAGTTAAAAATAATTGCTTCTTTCTCTGCTTGGACTTATAAAAAATCAATTGTCCTCTAATATGAGTTTATATGTCTATATACATAAGTATAAATGTCTAAAAGAAATCACGACTCTAAACTTCCACGGATGAGTCTGGTAGGAGATAAAGGTGAATTCTGAATTGTTACTAAAAGTACTCCTATTTTTTACCTTAGTGAGTGGGTATGGAATGGTGGGATACTCAGCCATGTTTGGGGGGTGGGTTCTCATTTTGTATTTCATCATTTGTCTCAGAGAGACCTGGAGCCCATGACCCTTATATCCTGCAGTCTTCACGGAGCTTGGAAAGTACAGGGGCTGCCAAAATTGAAATCACGCTAGATTTCATACTTCATTCTGTAATGGGGCATGTTTTAAAAATATGTATCCTGTTTTTTGGATAAAATTTTACTAAGGATAAGAGAAAGAGGGGGAACCCTAGGATTTAAATGGCAAGATGGATCTACACATCACAGTGGGTTTTTCAAACTGACAATGTTTAGGTTTTACACAAATACAAGTTCCAATTAATGTGAAACTCAGTCACAAAGGGTTGGGATTTTTCCTTTATGAAAACAATTGAAATTCTTTTATGCTGTAAATGTGCATTCAGATCCCATGAACCATGCTCTTTTTATTTCGGGATAGAACATTTTCCTTTTTACACCCAGGTCTTCTAATTTCTTTGTAGAACCGTGCTATGAGATGCATCTGTCCGCTTCCTGCTGCTGCATAGAACACTGCTTCGCACATGAATCCAGTGCCCAGCAGCTCTGCTCTAGGACGCTTCCGGGCTCTGTTCTCCATGCCCTGGCGGGAGGAGAGGTGTCTTAAATGCCGCTTTCACATTAATTTGGTCTGACCCCCGCTTATTTCTCGTGTTTCTTAGGGCAGGAGACTGAGACTCAACTGGACTAGAGAACCCATGTGTTTTTAGGAGGCCCGTTTGCCTCTGTCAACAGGCTTCGTCCACGCCTTAGGAGAATAAGTCGAGAGAGACCCGAAGGTTTGATCCTTTGCACCCTGACACTGTGCTGGTGGGAGCAAAGTTTAAGGGTCCTCGTAGGTTAATAAATTGGAAAGTTAGTGAAATTTAACTTCTGCCTTTTTTCTGCCTTTTAATCTAGATTTGCTTCCTCAATTGTCTATTTGGTGATTTTCTTTTTTGTCTTTAAGTGGCAACATGTTTTCCTCAGACAATGTGGCTTTCTTGCAGGTATTCCCAGGACGAAGGGTTATTTAAGAAACATTTTTACTCTGGTTTTTAAGACACTTTAAGGAACATTCTTAACTCTTGATTTTGTAAAACACCCAGTGTCAGAATCATTTCCTTGTTGCTCTGTGTGTTAAAGAACAAATAAAGAGTGTTTAGCACACAGCCAAAAAATACAGCACTTGAATAGACATACCAGTTGGTTCATTACCTTACTTGATGGTTAAATTTACAGTCGTGAACATTGTAATGAGGGTGTTGCTTTAGTTCGGGCGTCCATTTTTAACAACAAAAAAATTGCGTTCATAGAGTAAAAGACCTGTCAGTGTTTCCACCATGCACTTCTATTTTAAGTCTTACATTCCTAGTAAAACTTGGGCTTTTCTTAGGTATGTTTTATGCACATTGAGGGGGGTGCTCTTTTTAAACTTTAGCCGTGTGTGTGCGCGCGCACGCATGTGTGTGTGTGTGAACAATCTCTTTAATACATTAGTCGGCACTAACATCTCTGTGACATATGCACATACTTTAGAGGTAATTGTGTTTTCTTGGCTATTTGTGTGATTTGATTGGGCTTGTTTAGGGACCCTTGTAAAACAAATACATTAGATCAAAAACTGTATTCTCTATTTTTTGTAGGCTGGGCAGAAGGACCTGTGTCCCCACATGAGACAGGCTCCGAAGGACTTCTGTTTTCTCCACTTAACTGATACTTTAAAACACACTAGTCTTCCCCAAATCACACAGACAAGTAGGAGGACAGTTGTGTTGAGTCGACTGGAAACAGGTGCTCAGTAGTTAGGCTTGATAGTGATGTTTAGAAGCTGATGGTGACTAGCCATTGTTACCTCCCTTGGCCAGACTTGCTCCTTTTTTCTAGTGTTCTATGGTGAAGTGGCAGCAGCACTCACGGTCTGATTTTGCAGTGCTCAGAAAGTAGGACATTAACTTTGGAGGTGCTTGTTTATGTTATCTGAAGTCTACACTCTGCTAGGGTCACCTCTAACAGATTTTGGCAGCTATGCTGACTGACACTACATTCTAATGCTTCAGGTTCTTATGTTCCAGCCTCCCCTCCAGCTAGAAATGGGTAGTTTCTGTCTGTCTTGTTGGTGACTTGCTGCTGCTGTTGCCATCCTCACCTCAGACTGGAGTCAGGAGTGGTCCAAAGGGTCCTTACCTTTTAACCTCACTAATGCTAATGTGCCCTGTTTTCCGGAACCCTTTCCCCTTGCATAGCTCCACTCTGTGGTGATTCCATAAGGGAAAATTAATGGATTTTCCTCCTTTCGTGAGGAGATGAGTGGAAATCTTGATCTGAAGAATAGTGTGGTAGTTGAATTTTCTTGAAGGAGCTTTTGATAGTGATTTTTTTTCCCACAACAACCGGTTTGCCCCAGTTTAGTTCTCAGATTCAGTATTTCATGGAACTGGTTCAAAATAGCATTTTCTTACAGGTAGCAAATAAAGATGAAAACTGAGATTATAATAGGATTTTTGATACTCATGAATATGGTCCACTAACCTGAATTTGACACTTTTTTTTTTTTGGTACCGGGGATTGAACTCGGGTCCTTGCTCTTTCTGGGCAGATGGAGGAACCACTGAGCTAAATCCTCGGCCCTCAATTTGACACTTTTTAAAAATAGTTTTCTATCCATGAGCATTCGAATAACCAGTGGAGTTTTTTAGAGTATTTGTTGGGAATGGAATAGTGCATTTTTCTTTAAATTTCAGTTTAAGAGATGTTTTGAGAGCTAGAAAGGCAAGAGCAGAATTTAATAACAGGAGCAATGGGGAAAGCTTTGTAAAAGATCATGTGGCTCCTGTAAAGGCTGAGTGCCAGTTTGAACTGTTCTTTCTTTGCCTACATCAGCAGTCACAACACCAAAAAGGAAAAAACTCACTTTAAGATTTTGGAAAGGAAGAAACCTGGGCTGTGGTTGTTACAATTTAGACTGAGATACTTAACAAGTATACACATCTCCTGCCAAAGAGTGGGGAAAACAAACTGGTTGCTCCCAAGGGTGGAGCACTGTCCACTTCTCCGGGATGAAGCGGAGGCTATGTGAAAATGGAGGGTTGGTTTATTGTTTGAATATTGGGACATCAAGCAGTCTATGGCTTAGTTTTTGGTCTCACCTCATTTTCCCTTTGTCTTAGATAAATTCTTACATGATTCTGTCTGAATATCAAATCTGTAACCTACACTTTTGTTCAAAGCCTGATTCACGAAACTCACAGTGGTGCTGACTGTAATAACTACTACTGGGGAAAATCCCGAATACCTGCCTGTTGCCATGCCAACAGAGCAGCCGATGGGGGACATCTGTGGGAGCATGTGCCATGTGGCTGGCAGGACGCTGCCGCTGTGCAGTCACTTTGTACATGGGTGAGGGGTTTTCTAGATTGTGGGAGGGTTAAAAGGGGCTTTTTTTTCTTTTTTTTGATGGGGTGTGGAGGTATAGAACTCATCTTTGCCCTAAAATAACATGTATAAAAACCCCTGGAGTATTGTGTGGGTGTGCGTATGAGTGTGTTTGTATACGTCTGGCAATTAAACCTTTGTCTTCTGGAAATTAGTGAATTCTCTTCTTCTTTTCCTCCAGAAGTATTTGTTACAAGATTTGTAAATAAGAGCTCTACTTAGTTTGTTTACCATGAACGTGTTGCAACAAACCTTATACACCTAATTCCTGCAAGGTTTAGGAGGGACTAAGACTTCCCAGGTTAAGCAGCAGCCAAGTTCTCAGTAATTGTTTGCCTTGATTTGTGTTTTAGACTTTTCATTTTGCCAGCTTGAAAACTCCCAGTCCTCCTTGATTTTAGTCCTTAATCTTTTATGTTCTGAGCAGGAAGGGTAAAAGGAACCTGCTTAAACATCTGAATTAGTCCGTAGCCGAGACCGGGTGACCCTTTCCTTACATTACAATGTCGCTGGATACATGATCAGACACCAGAGGGTTGGGCATTCTTGCAATACCTTAACAGTGCTGGAATCTGCAGCATGGTACTAAGGAAGTTAAAGTTTGAATGTAACCACTTTATTTAAAAGGTTTTTCTTTAATTTAAGTGAAATAGGGTTGAAGTGAACATGATTTTGTTGACCATGTTCGTGAATTATAGATGCAACATGCATTGGTAGAATTGTGTGATGGTCTTTTGTGATACTTAATTTTTACATATCCCAGTCTCTGTATGTATCTGCATAGACAAAGAAAAAACAAACTCCTGCATTACTTTTGTTGAAGGTTTCCAGGACTGCGTGTCTGCTCCTGAGCTTTGTTTTAAGTATGTGTATCCTTTGCTTGTATTTTGTATTAAAAAAATAAGAAAAAGAACCCCTTTATCGTTGAGCATGTTGGCACTGTCCCCTTTATTTTTCTCTTTGGGGACATTCGAAGCAAGTTATTCTTTTTCTGTATCTTTTTTTCTTTTGTAAACTTTTTTCTGTTTTGTTTAAAAATGGCTTTATAAAAGGGCTTTTATAACCCAGATGTGTGCTTTGTGTACTTCTTGTAACACTTTAAAGTAGTGCACCGACACCTGACACATACGGCTGATCACTAGCACATCACCTCCCAGGCCACCCTGAGGTGAGGGGCAGGATCTGTTTTCCCAGATAATTTAGAAATTTTGTGAGGGACTACCCTGTTGGGAAGGGGAAACAGCTTACCGAGAAAGCAAGGCTTTTCTCAAATGCTTACGAGCACCGACTCGAGGCAGCAGAAATTTTAGTACTCTGGGAGGCTGAGGCAGGAGGGTCACAAGCTCAAGCACAACTGGCTAACATAGTGACTTAGGCCCTGTTTCAAATCTTAAAAGGGCTAGGTGGGGATTTAGCTCAGTGGTTTCCCTGCCTGTTGTGCAAGCACAAGGACCTGAGTTCGATTCCCGGTACTAAAGTAATAAAAGGGCTAGGGATGTAGTTCAGTGTGAATGCCCTCAGTTCATTCCCCAGTACTGCACACTCACAAAGCATTAAGTTCACCAATTTTTAATTACAAGGACTAGACTGGATGTGTGAGGATCCCTAATTGGCGTTTCCCCCATGTTCATGTCCAAAGTTAGGAAGTGTCGTGAAGAGTAAAGTTCATTTCAGTTATATATAGTTACTGGTTTGGCTTGGGATTTTTTCTGGAGACAGGTTTTTTTGTAGCTCAGGCTGGCCTTGAACTCTTCGATGCTCCTGCCTCAGCCTTCCGAGTGCTGGGTTGCTGGTGACTACCACACTCAGCCATAAAAGATACTGCTTACATTTGCACTTAATATCAAATACCCGTTAGAAGCAGCTAAACCATCTTGCAGTTTAGGATGCAGTGTTACTGTTACTTCTTGGATGGGGGCCTAGTGCCCCTCTAGAACTGGGCTGCTGCTGTCGCTCTGCGCCTCGTTCTTCCATGCTTTCGCCTTAGATACTCTGAGTGCCAGCCAAGTAGCCATCCACACGCAAACTCACCTTGGATTTGAGAGCGGATGTGTCGCGCACGCTGGGACCTGTCGCTGACCACCTGTTAGTTCCTACTGCAGTTTGTCCCGGGTCGAAGCTGACCTCAGAATACGAACCAGGCACCCGCTGCTCCTCGCGCAGTGTGCGAGGGTTGACTGCAGATCTGCTCGCGCACAGTGCCGGAGACGCCGGTTAGCGGGGTTCAAGCCCCATCAAGTCACTGAACAGGTGCCCACGGGGAAACGGCCGCCCTGACTCCTCCACCGAGTTGCGCAGCGCTTCGCAGTTGTTTCACAGCAGCTGTGGCGCTGGCCAGGTGAGGGTCATCTCCAGACGGTAGAGAATACACTGCCGGGTAAAACGCGGGACCTGCTGAGGCCTCAAGCCAGGTCTGCGTGCAGCTTTTTGCTGCCCCCTGGCGTCTCCACCTGACGCCGGCCAAGTGAGTTAACAGCCCCGTGAGTCACAGCAAAGCTGCGCTGCGCACGAGCGCGCCTGCTGGGCCCGTGCAGAGCCCTGGCTTCCATCAGGGGCCTGCCAAGGAATGGAGAAATTTGAAAGCTTTCAATAGGGTATGAAGATGTATCATGAAGTACTTCGACTTACTTGAAGATCTTGTAGTCCCTAGATACAAAGGCTCGAGTAACGTTGATGCTTTTCTTTGCTGTTTACATCTCAAAATGGTAACTGCGGGGAGACTCCTTCTGGCGACTGTATGGAGCAGCTGGCCTCTGCCGGTAGAGGGCAGTGTCCGGCCACATACCGAGCTGGGGAACCTCCCTCGCCACCGCCCCAGATACTGCCCTGCACCCAGCAGCCTCCAGGTTGGCGCGCTCTGCCACCCCTACAGAGGGGTACAGAGGTCCTGTAATCACTGCAACCACGGATCTATGCAGAAGCCTCCTCTGGATTTCACATGAGGAGTAGGATCTCTTGATTCATGCGCATCTGCTTTCAAAAGTGTATGTTGAGAGATTTCAAAACACAGCTGTGAACTCTTGGTCCTGTTTTGAAATAGGTGAAGGCCTTTTGAAGTTGGCCTCCAGCTCAAAAGCCCTGTCTCTTGCACAAGGAACCCTGATACATGTTTGCACACCACAAACATTGAGGCTAGTTTTCCAGGTGCCACGCTAGGTTGGGCTTCTTAATCTTGCTGGTGTGTTTCTCATTCCAGTGCATTATCAATCCAGTGGACAGCTCCACACTGACATGCTTCAGCCGGCTCACCCAGGGAGGAAATGGTATTGCTCAAGGGTGTGCCTCCTTTTTCAATGGGAAAGTCCTGGACAAATACTATGAAATCAATGCTGTATTAATCCTGGGGCCAGAGAGCAAGAGGCTACAGTTTCCATCCCAATAAAGCAAATAGTTACTTTAAAATATGATAACAAAACGTTGGAAATCATTATTTGCCTTGATTTAGCGCTAAGCCGGCATCCAGAAGTGATTTGTTCAGACTCTTAAGGAACAGGTAGAACAAAGACGAGTATACATACCCATTACCATCATTGGTAATGTTTTAGCTATTAAATTGAGCATGCATATGCCCAGTAGCTCTTTTTTTTTTTTTTTTGTACCAGGGATCGATCTCGGGTCCTTGTGCTTTCGAGGCAAGCGGCAGAACCACTGAGCTAAATCCCCGGCCCCCCAGTAGCTTTTTTGTTCAACTGTGTAAGACCATCCCTTTGGCTGATGTGTGATAGTACCTTTTCCATCTTGGGTAAGAATAGCAATTTCTCATACAAGTCAGGAGTTTCCTGACTATATAAGATTAAGTCAGATGGGTTAGGTCAGGCTCTGAAGAAGGTAGAAAGTTATTGATCCCAGAAAAATGATAGCCTAAATTATGGGAACAGATAACTACCGATTCGGTAGCCCTAGCTAATGACCGAATGTGTGGTAAAAAGTGAATCACATCCATAACAAATTGAATGTGTGCTGTGATATCCCAGTAATTAACAAAAACAACAAAAAAATAGATTTTGAAACACTGGTCATTACAAGTTTGTAGAGGGAGTGACATTCCCTTTGTGACTATAAATTAGTTCTCTGTAGTTCACTACTTCCACCTAATGGAATAAAAATACTAAGCACCTAAAAAATATGATTTTCTCGGTGTGGTGACGCACACTTGTTATCCCAGCACTCAGGAGGCTGAGGCAGGAGGATCGCCTTGAGTTCAAGGCCAGCCTGGGCTCCACAGTGGGTTCAAGGCCAACCTGAACTGCATAGGGAGGCCCTGTTTCAAAAAAAAAAAACCCAAAAAACACTATTTTACTTCTAAAGTAGTTAAAAACAATGTATAACAAAACTGTTTCAAAGAGACTAAATGTCTTTAGAAATCAAGAAATCTCCATGGACATTCTGTTTAGATCTTGCAGCAATCTGGGGCTCAGCAATTCATACCTGTTAGGGCCATATCTCAATTACAAACTCCATGGTCCTTCTGTCTTTCCCTTCCTCTCTCTGACCTAACTTGCTACTGTCTCTCTTTTCTTCCTCTGGCTTTTGTGCATGGATGATCAGTTCCAAAGGGTTGGTGGGGTTTTTTGAGGGAAATACATTATGTGTACATGAGCCAGGTCACACTCCAGGTGGATGGGAAACTGGCTGTCTGTAAGAGACACGATTGGCCTGAATACAAGATAAATAGTGCTTCCTGGTAAACCTGGAACAATGCAGAGCTTGGATTCCAAAGCCCTACGCAGGGAATGTAGGTATGGGTTCAGGTGCACAGGATATGCACAGTGTCTGGTTAAAGATTGTCCTAGACGCGGTGCAATGGGCCAATAGCAAAGCAGGTCAGGCTTCTTTTGTCCTGCTTTCCCTCATTTCTTTCCACACAGTCCTGTGAAGCAATAAGACCTATGACTCAGATCCTGGGCTATCCACTCTTCTCTAGAAGTCAACACCGCTGCGCAACTGCTGAGGAGCCAGTGCCCCTTCTGGGAGGCAGTCCACGTGGAGATGCACTACCAACCCCTGACAGTGGAAACGGAAGTTTATAGAACACCTGTCTCTCTATAGTTCACTCCTGAATTGGCCACCAATATTCATTGACAATGAAAACTGTAGATGGCGGTGGGAGGAACTTACTTAGCATGTGGGGGGACCTGGGTTCTATCTCCAGAAGCGCGCGCACACACACACACACACATGCACATGGAAAACAAAACCAAGAAATGGTGACTACATTCCACTCCAAAAAGTGGGACTTGTGCTATCATGAAGAGTTTTGTCATATTCCTTAATAGGAAAGACAGTCTACAGTGTTAGTTTGGATCTCAGAATATTAGCATGTCTAGGACATTTTTATGGTTTAAGGAACTAAGGCATAAAACTGGATTATTCCAGGGAATTTATGTAAATAGTGTAAAGAGTTCAAGGGGGGTTGGTTTGTGCATCATATTTACTGTAGCAGTAGTTGTTTGTTTTTGCAGTACCAGGGACTAAACTCAGGGCCTTCACACTGAGCTGTATCCCCAGCCCTTTGAAAATTTATTTTGAGACAGAATCTCGCTAAGTCACTGAATTACCCAAGCTGGTTTCAAATTAACGATCCTCCTGCCTCAGCCTCCCTAAGTGCTGGGATTACAGGTGTGTGCCTCTGATTCATTTTTCCTCATCTGGAAATCTGCTTTGGAGAAGCTCTGTGGCTGGTTTGGATTAAGTCGGGAGGTCGGTTTGCAGGGTGGTCCTAGGCAAGCCAGCTGCCCACTCATCCCACACATACCCAGTGCCCACTTCTCCTCTTAAAACAGCGGCGGTAATAAGAGGCAGCTTCTTTGCCCAACGCCACCACACAGGCTCCCTGGACACAAAGGCCACTGTCGGCATTGTAGACAGCCAGCCCCAAATGAAAGCAGAGAATTCTCTCTATGTGAGGTATGCTGCAGGCAAAAACTTCATTCCCACAGAACTGAAATTCGCTTAGCTTTGTCTCTGATATAGAGGAGTTATTTATTAGTAAGAGCACCTTGCAAAACCGTAATCTTTAACCAGCCCACAATATCAAGTGGTTTCTGAGGTTTTCCCACCTAGTTAC